CTGAGACACTCCCAGCAGCATTAAGTGGGTTTAACTTAGAACAGTTGCCCAAAGTGTGTGTGTGTGTGTAGAAATACAATATTTCTACACACACACATATATTGGTATTTTGTGAACAGATATTAGTATTTTGTGGACTTCTGCAGGTTTGCATAACAGCTTGTCTGGAATCATGGTTCCTTTACTAAGAAATTACTTCAGGCCAGGCACATGTGAATTCTTGCGTTAGCTCCTTCTCTGGCTCTCATAACCTCTACTAGGGCAGTGGCATTTCATGGACTACAAGGTGAGAACAGCGGTTCTCAGATTTCCAGCACCATGAGTTCTAGAGCTCTGTGGAGACCGGGAAAGAGGGGCCTAGGAGCCTTGGCCTGGTGGCCGAGGCACGCCTCAGGCTAGTCATGAGCCATCCTGAGCCTTAGTTCCCCCAACTGTAACTGAGCAAGGAAAACCACAACCCATCACAGGCGGGAGCACCAAAGTGGATAGGTATCTGCCACGAGCTCAGAGCGGCTGAGCGCCTGCAGCCCAGCGGTCCAGCAGCCGGCCGCGCACTCCTATCTGGTCCCTAAGCCTTCACTGATAAATGAAGAAATGTAGGGGACTCTGGCAAGGCTAGTTACTGCTCCTCACTTGGCTTCCTTGTGACCCCGCTGGGGGCTGGTGGTGCCTGGGAATGGGGACCTGAGGTCCTTCTGCTCTGCTGAGGATAAGCCCAGCACGCCCGTCCAGGTTTGAGAAGCTCATCGGGGGCAAGTACATGGGCGAGCTGGTGCGGCTGGTGCTGCTGAAGCTCGTGGATGAGAACCTGCTTTTCCACGGGGAGGCCTCGGAGCAGCTGCGAACCCGAGGTGCCTTCGAGACCCGCTTTGTATCCCAGGTGGAGAGGTGCGAGGGGGAGAGGGGAACAGAGGTGGAATGGGGGCCAGGGGTGAGGGTACAGGTGACCCCCTGGGGGAAGTGGTGGGGCCGGTCGGTGATACAAGAGACTGAGCTCAGGAGTGGACAGGGCTGGAGGTCCTGTCCTGAGGGGTGCAGTCAGGGGGAGGGGGGGCCCGGGAGGAGGTGAGGTCCTGGGGTGGGGTGTCTGGTAGCCCTCCACCACCTTGGACATAGTGTCTGTCCGCTAACCAGCCCTGAGACATGGCCGTGTAGTCCCACCTTCAAGTAAAGAGGCAGGACTATATAGAAAGGCATGGGCTAGAGGTTACTGCCGGTTTCTATGCAAATGCACCTGCTCTCCCCACTGTCCCCAGCCCCAAGAGCTTTGCCTGGGTGAGGTGGGCAGCGGGAAGCAAAGAGGCAGCCAGGAGGTCAGCTCCAAGAGGCCCTAGGGGGAGGTGGCTGGGGTGCGGGGTGGGGCTGGGAGTGATCCATTAGCCATGCCCTCCGTCCTCCATCCCTGCCCGCAGCGACTCAGGAGACCGGAAGCAGATCTACAACATCCTGAGCACGCTGGGGCTGAGGCCCTCCGCCACTGACTGTGACCTCGTGCGCCGGGCCTGCGAGAGCGTGTCCACTCGCGCAGCACACATGTGCGCCGCCGGCCTGGCCGGGGTCATCAACCGCATGCGCGAGAGTCGCAGCGAGGACGTGATGCGTATCACCGTGGGTGTGGACGGCTCGGTGTACAAGCTGCATCCCAGGTGAGCTCTCTGCGCGCCCCAAGGGCAGAGGACAGGGCAGAGGACAGCCCTCAGCCTCCACCTGGGAAGTGATGGCGGGGGTGGACGTTCACCAAGGCCTTTTGGGCTCACAACTACAGGGATTCTTTTCTCTTTGTCCATCTTGGGGGGGAGTTGAGGGTGGGTGCTTAACCTTAGCGCTGTGTTCCACATGCCTGTAATAGCGCTGAGGTCGGGCAGGGGTGACTTTGTGCCGGAGCGCTGTTAAGAGGAAAATATGCCCTGCTTCCTTCCTGCTTAGCTTCAAGGAGCGGTTCCATGCCAGCGTTCGCAGGCTGACGCCCAGCTGCGAGATCACTTTCATCGAGTCAGAGGAGGGCAGTGGCCGGGGTGCAGCGCTCGTCTCCGCGGTGGCCTGTAAGAAGGCCTGCATGCTGGGGCATTGAGAACAGAGGCCCTGCGGGCAAAGAGGAGACTGCACAGCTACTGGCCCCGGGCTCCAGGGGAGAGAGCTCCCCACAGGTGCTCCCAGCTTGGGCCAGTCAAGAGGCCTCTGATAAGGACCTTAGATACCTCCCCTCACAGAAGATGGGGAAAGCTCTTACCCCTGGGAATGTGGGGCACCCCCGCCGATCTCTTCTTTTATAGACAATTGATGGGATCACCCGAGGGCCCAGGGTTGGTTGGAAGCTGATTTGAGCAGGACTGGAGATGTCCATAGTCCCTGAACTTATGTTGCTGCAGTCAGCTGCCCAGAAGGGAACAGCTCGGGACTGTATTGCATTTCTTCACTCCCTGCCCCATGGGCCTTTCACTCTTGTTCAACCACAACTGTGATGAAGGTGCCCGCTGGACTCTACTGTGGCCTGATTCCCTGGGAACTCAGCCCACATGGGCAGGCAGCCCTGGTGCAGACTTGGACCTGGGCTCCATAGGGGCTATGGGTGGCTGGTCATCGACTCAGGCCTGTTTTTACCTGTGATTCAAGGGCTCCTGGGGGGTAAATGAGAGCAACCAACTCACTATAGAGGCTGTGGGTACCCCAAGGCCCCTCTCACACCACCATTCTGAAGTGGTTTTCGGTTCTGGGAGCACAAGAGATTGAGCCTCAAAGTCCTGTTCCCGTGGGGCCAAGAAGAGGAGGAACTCCACCTTCACCCAGGAGCTCCCACCCCACCAATGCAGGTGTGCAAGCCCCTCAAGAGATGGAGTCCTCACTCCCATGACACTGAACAGAAGCCCAAGCAGCACACCCAAAGCGACCGTCTAGGCCGGCTCTCTCCACACCAGCCTCACGTGCCATCCCACCTGCTCAGTGTCCGATCTGGGACTCTGTGCATTTTTTTAATTAAAAGTTTAGAACATGGCCTTGTCCACCGTTCTTTGGCATCTATGTACAAGGGACAAAATATAGACATGTATAATCTGCAGGCCTAGGAATTTCCTGTCCCCTCCAGTGGGCTTGGCTGGGGAGTGTGAAGAATGACAGGAGAAACAGCAATGGGATGGCAGCGAGGGCTTGGGGCAGCAGAGGTACTGGACTCTCCACAGCTCAGCTGCCCACTCATAACATGTGGTGTGTGAACACATGCTCTTATCGTTCAACAACTTGGATGACCTGCAGAGCCCCAGGAAGGGGTGGGAGGCCGGGCCATGTCTCTGGAAGAGAGACAGGGCTGGTCTCTGGGCCCCTGGTGGTCTCAGCAAGGGGCTCTCAATGTCCACTGGGTTGTTGACAATGACTTGGGCGGGGTGGGGTGGGGGATGGGGGTGAGGTCAGGATATAAGACATCACAATGATTTCTGAGGCCTGGAATTAGAGTCACCGAAGTCAAGGGCCTAATGGCAACTTCCATGTAAACCCAGCTACATATAAACATATGCATGATTTTAACTCACTTTCCAATGAGAAACTGCCCAGCAAATCAGGAATGACTGCTTTATTTCATTCTAAACTTCACCCAAAGTTGTGATTTTGGACTGTTACCCCCTCCCCCTCCCCCCAGACATCTCATTTTCTGGTATTTCTCACGTGGACTTGTCTCTGATCATTTTCATTCTCTTGACTCTCACTTACTCATCGTGAGTGAGCGTCTGATCACTTCATTGTCAGTCCTAAAGTACTCATGTTCTAGCATTTATGCCCCGAATGTCATTGTAATGTAAATTATTTCCTGTTTTTCCTTTGTTACAGTTTTTAGAAATTCTCTATGTAGGTGTATTCTATGAATTTCATTTCAGGAGTGTAAAGGAGCTGTCATTAAATACTTCTTCATTATATAGAAGGGGCTTTGGGTCTGATGGCCGAGAATACCCCCTCTGCCAGCTGCCTCTCCCCAGGGGCACCCAGTCCCTTGGGCAGTGCAGCCTTGCAAAGCCAGGTTCAAGGCCACCACAACCTACTCCTAAGTTCAGGGGCAACCAGTGACACTTCTGCTCTTAATGAGCCAGAGGCTGCATCCCTGGTGCAGTAGAGGAAACCCAGTCCGCTCACTCTGCAGCCGAGCCCCACTGAGGGGCTCAGGGCCCACTGTCAGGGGACCCAAGGTGATGCTTGGGATCCAGGTGGTGCTCTGTGCTCTAAAAGCATCACCCACAGGTTCTACCGGGATCATGGTGTGCTCAGGGCTGTTGTCTGGCCTTAGTCAGATGGGCCGGAGGCCAATGCCAAGCATCTTCAAAACCTCTGGAAATCCTCGGGGATCTCAGGCCAGAGGGGTCTTAAACCAGAGATCATCCTCATTATCACTCGCTGCCCAGCCAAGTCCGCGGCCAGCCCTCCCCCAGCTGTCTTTTTGAACTGGACCGGTTCTGGCTGATCCTGCAGGAGGAACAGTGAGGTGGGTGCCATTAGCAGGTCCTCCTCATTCAGCACCTAGACTGGTGAGAGCCTGAAGCTTTCTCTGCTCTTGGAGACTCACACCAGTCCTGCAGGGACGGTGGACACCCCGATATAACACATACGGGGCTTAAAGGTCACTAAGAATGTGTCTGGAATTTGCCAGGGGCCTGTCCTCCCCCAGCCCAGGCAGGGACTGCCAAGTTTGGGCCTGTCCTCTCCTGCACTCCTTATTTGGTCCTCCAGGTGATAAGGCTGGGACATAAAGGGGGTCTGGAGGTTGTGGGCAACCAGGCTGCCACAGAGGGAGGATGGTGAGTGCCAGGTGGGGACTACAAGGCCAGTGGCCTCCCGGGTGCAGCCCTCTGGGCTCAGAAAGCAGTGCCAGACATTTCTTGCTGGCAGTGGGCCCAGAGGACTGATCTCCAGGAAGAGGACCCAGGCTCTCCTGGGAATGCTGAGGGAGTGTGTATGGAGGGCAGCCTTTGGGGCCCCAGGGAGAGGACCCCTCCCCACCCACAGTGTTGCAGGCCAGCAGAAAGGCGGGGACCCGTGGCAAGGCTGCAGCCACCAAGCAGGCCCAACGAGGCTCTTCCAATGTCTTTTCCATGTTCGAGCAAGCCCAGATCCAGGAGTTCAAGGAAGTGAGTGGCCGACCCAACAGTCTGATCCTTGCTCCCCCTCCACCCTGGGCTCCCCTTCCTCCCACTCCACCTTCCCAGGGGTAGGGGACTGCTCCCACCTAGAGATTCCCACCTCGCAGGCCTTTAGCTGCATCGACCAGAACCGTGATGGCATCATCTGTAAGTCAGATCTGCGGGAGACCTACTCCCAGCTCGGTAAGTGCCCCCACCCCTCACCCTGCCTGCTCAGCTGCTGGGCTGGTGGGGGCCCCTGGGACAGGCCTTCACTTCCCCGCTGCTGCTCACACCTCCTCTCACTGTCTCCTCACACCTCCCTCTCCCTGCTTTACCTCCCCAACTTCCTCTGACTCTCTCTGCCCTGTGTTTGGGAAGGGGGCAGGGTTGTTTGGGCCCTCGCAGGGGGGCCCAGGGTCTCTGTGTCTGTCTGATGTCCCTCCCCACCCCCCAGGGAAGGTGAGCGTTCCGGATGAGGAGCTGGATGCCATGCTGCAGGAGGGGAAGGGCCCCATCAACTTCACTGTCTTCCTCACACTCTTTGGGGAGAAGCTCAATGGTGAGCCTAGGCAGGGCTCCCCTGGAAACCCCTGGTAGGGCAGTGAGTGAGCTCCAATCCCACCTGGACCCCACTGAACTCCACCTAAGCCCCTCCACCCCCGGACCCTGCCTGGATCCCATTTGAACCCCTCCTAGACCACATCTGGGCTCCACCTGAATCCTACCCACACTTTTGCCCTCCCAGAGGCTGTGGGTCGATGCCCCCCACCTCTGGTCCCCTCCACACATCCTTTGCCTGTGTCTCAAGGGTTTTGGTCACCCTAGGTCCTGCTTGTGGGCTGGGAAGTGGGCCTGCTGCCTCCCTCCCAAGTCACAAAGCCTAGTTTCCTGACCAGACCTGCACTTCGGGGGGATTGCTAGTCCTTGCTTCTTTGAACTCTGAGGGATGCTTTGTATTGGGGGGCCCCTCCCTACCTTTCCTGGGTTGAAGACACTGCACCCTGGGTCCTTTCTGGATTGGGCTGGGCAGAAATGGTGGTGTGAGTTCTTTCCTGGTTCTCTCGGCCTCCCAGGGACAGACCCCGAGGAAGCCATCCTGAGTGCGTTCCGTATGTTCGACCCCAGTGGCCAGGGGGTGGTGAACAAGGATGAGTAAGTAAGACTGGCTGGGATGACATGTGGGCACCACGCAGGAGGTAGGGGCATGCGGTTCCTTATGGGAATGACTGCCTATATTTGGGGGCCCTTGCTATTCACCTGGACCAAGGGTGCTTTACCCCCAGCTCCCTGCTCCCCCTGTGGCTGCCCACTGAGGCTCCTCCTACTTCACGCAGGTTCAAGCAGCTGCTCCTGACCCAGGCAGACAAGTTCTCTCTGGCCGAGGTGAGGATTCCCAGTCCCTTCCCAGGGCCTCACCTTGCGCTGGGGAGGCCTTGGTAAACCACTGCCCTGTGCACTTAGAGCCTCCTGGGGGAAGGTCCATCTCTGTTGAGAGGTAGAGGGGGAAGGACAAGGATGTGCAGTCAAAAACTGTCAAAGAGTCACACTGATAGAGCTGTGTGCACACAGTCCCAGGGGTGAGACGCAGGGGCATATTTGGTATTTGGAAGAGGTTTCATACATGAGGGGAGTGGGGTCAGGGTTACCCCTTTGTCCTCTGGCCCCCTTCATGGCCCACCCCTCTCCCCAGTCTGCCCAAAGTCAGACAACTGAAAAGCATTAACTCTGAGTTTTGGGTTTGAGGTTAAATTTGCTAGGGCCATACAACCCAGAGCCCAGGGTGGTGGGTCTTCCTCAGGTCACACAGCCACCCCCCTCGCCGAGTCCTCCCTGGCTGTGCTGGCTCGGGAAGCTGCCTCTCACCACTGCCTCCCCAGGTGGAACAAATGTTTGCCCTGACGCCCATGGACCTGGCGGGGAACATTGACTACAAGTCCCTGTGCTACATTATCACCCATGGGGACGAGAAAGAGGAGTAAGCAGGAGGCGGGGCCCTGGGGGCACCTCAATAAATGCCTGACTAAACCCACAGTGTCCGCTTGTATGTGACAGATGGGGTAGGGGCCAGCCAAGGCCATCCAAGGCACCAACACAGGGTGCAGTGAGAATGCTCACACCCCAATGCACCCCACCCTGCTGGGGGTGTGTAAGCTGCGATATGCTCAGTTTACAAAGAGGGTACTGAGGCCTGAGCGCATGGGCAGCTCTCCTGTGGCCACACCTCCAGGAGCGGGAATTGTGGGAGTGGGGAGAGGAGTGGGCGTGTCCCTTCTGGCACCTCATTGGTGGAAACCAGGGGCTGGAGGAGGGACATGGGGCATTGTGCCCAGCAAAGGCACTGGAGGGGCATCAGTGGGCCCTCCAGAGGCTCACAGTAGGAGAGATGGGGGAGGAGGGGAAAAAGCACACAAAGGCCTTCTGTGGTCAGAGTCAGAGGTCTCTATGGCTGTCCCCTCCCTTCAAGTTTTGCTACGATCAGATAATCCCTCAGACCACCTTTAAAATTTTGCGCAGCCTTTCTATTTTCCATAGTGTCTATTCTCCAGGGAGGGCCCATTGCTCCCCCCTTTTTTTTTAATTTTATAAGTTTATTTTTACATCATTTTGTACACTTTTTTTTCCATCTCAATTGTAATCCCCACGGGTCTCCCATCATCAAGTCACCTGTGTGCCATCACCATAATCCCGTGCACTTCCCCCCACCCCCCGTTTTTGATCCCATTCCCCACTCCACCCCCACAAAATGTCTCTGGTATATGGCTGTTCATTATTCTTGTTATTTTCTCGCCTGGTCCATTATACTCCTGCTATGAGTGAAACCATCTGGTATTTTTCTTTCTCCTTCTGGCTTATCTCACTAAGCATGATCTTTTCCAGCTCCATCCAAGTTGCTGCAGAAGACATGTGTTTCTCTTTTTTGGTTGCTGAGTAATATTCCATTGTATATATGTACCACATCTTTCTAATCCAACCATCTACTTTTGGGCATTTGGGCTGCTTCCATGTTTTTCCAATTGTAAATAAAGCAGCAATAAACATGGGGGTACAAGTATCTTTTTCAATCAGTGTTTTTGTGTCTTTTGGGTAGATACCTATGAGTGGGATTGCTGGGTCGTAGGGAGGCTCCATGTTTAGCAGTTTGAGGGATCTCCAAACAGTTTTCCATAGTGGTTGTACTAATTTGCATTCCCACCAGCAATGCAGGAGAGTTCCTTTTTCTCCACATCCTCGCCAACATTTGTTGTTGCTAGTTGTTTGAAGATGTGCCATTCTCACTGGGGTGAGGTGGTATCTCATTGTGGTTTTAATTTGCATCTCCCTTATAACGAGTGATGTTGAACATTTTTTCATATGCTTGTTGGCCATCTGCATTTCTTCTTTGGAGAAGTGTCTTTTTAGCTCTTCTGCCCATTTTTTTGATGGGGTTGTTTATTTTTGTTGAGTTTCATCAGTTCTTTGTATATTTTTGTGATCAGTAGTCTCACTACTTTTGTGTGAGAAAATGTTTTCCCAATTAGTGGGCTGTCTGTTTGTTTTTTGTAATGTCTCTTTTGCTGTACACCATTGCTCCCATTTTTAAAGTGTTCCAGGTCCCACTGTTCCACTCCCAACAGCCCCCACTCAGGAAGAGGTTTCCACCTGCCAGTGCCAGACAGCACGCTTGGGGCCCGGGTTCAGATCCTGCAGCAGCAATGCTTCTGTGGATGAGCCGAGCTCCAGCCAGCCCGAGGGCTCCTGCCCCAAGTCAGCGGGCGGCAGTCAGACCCAAGGCAGACTGATGCTCAGAGTCTGTCAGGCATAGCTGAAGCAGGGGCCTGTGCCACCCAGTTTGGTTAGACACTGGGCAGGGGCACGGGGGAGTGGGCACAGGCGCTAAGGGGGGGTGTAGTGGAGCCAGGCGGTTGGGCAGCATCAAGCAAGGGTGCAGGGCTCTGCCGAGGCCAATGCCAGTATCAGACAGCGCACCTGCCCCAGGTCCTGGTCACACCAGCAACGAACTGGGCCTGGTCTGGACCTCGGGGGCTCAGGGACAGGCCACCTGATGTGGCTGCTCCTAAGCAGTGAGGACATAAGGCCAGAGGGGTGTCCAGCTGGGGTCCTCCCGGTGCTCCTCCTCCTCTCTCTGCTTCTGAGCAGCGCAGCGTCTGACCTCCACCAGCTGTGGCCTCAGGTACAGTCCCAGCTCTCCTACAACCACTCCCCTGCACTCCCCACATCCCCGCCTCTGGCTCTCAGCAGTAGGCTGGCCACCCTCTTCCACATGCTTTCAGCACGGACACTGCAACACAGACACTACCTAAGAGCAGACTGACTGCATTGGCCCCTACCAGTCTGAAATTTTCTTTTTTAAAGACTCACTTATTTGGCCCTCCCTGGTGGCGCAGCGGGTTAAAGCACAGCACTAAGAAGCTTAAGCCGCTTCCGCATGAGTTCAATCCCCGCCTGCCCCGGAGGTGAACACATGGCGTGGCAGACCTCTCCTGACCCGCCCGCTGCTCCCCTCAGCAGTGTACTTCGTCGATCTGCCTGCTCTGCTCCCCACTCTGTCTCTGGTGAATCCTCTCACCCTCCGCATCTCTGGCCTGTATCCCAGTTCTGTATGAATAAATAAATAAATCTTTTTTTAAAAAAGTCTTATTTATACATATAGAACTGGGGTACAGGCCAGAGGTGAGGGGGGGTGAGAGAATTCACCAGCACCAGAGACAGAATGGAGAGCAGAACAGGCAGACTGACTGAAATACACTGCTGAGGGGAGCAGTGGGCGGGTCAGGAGAGGTCTGCTGGGCCATGTGGGTCATGGCAGGGTATTGAAATCATGCTGCCGTGGCTGCAGATAGCTTCATAGTGCTGTGCTTTAACCCATTGTGCCACCAGAGAGGGCCCTGGAAATTTTATTTATTTACGTTTAAAGATTTATTTATTTATGCATACAGAACTGGGATACAGGCCAAAGGTGCAGGGGTGGTGAGAGGATTCACCAGAGACTGTGGGTGCACTGACGTGGGTACACACTGGTGTGGGTGTAGTATAGTGTCAAGCCTGAGCCTGAAGCCTCTAAACACAACAACTTTGTGAATTAACATTACCTCAATGAAAAATAAAATTTCTGGCCCTCCCTGGTGGTGCAACAGGTTAGGACACAGTACTGTAAGCTACCCACGTCCACTTCAGTGCAAGTTTGATCCCCATCCCAGGGGTGACCCACATAGTGCAGCAGACCTCTCCTGTCTCATCCCCTGCACCCCTCAGCCATAAACTTCGTCCATCTGCCTGTTCTGCTCCCCACTCTGTCTCTTATAGCCTTGTGTCCACTTCTACTCTAGCTGCTTTAAATGCTAGATGCAGCACTGAGAACAGATGGTAGTTGGTATAGTTCACAGATACGGAGTTCTCTTCTTTTAGAACTTTATGCAGGGTGTTTTTGCCTGTTGCTGAGAGGTACTTGAGCTTTAGTTTGTCTAAGTATTTATTTTGGTTTCAGCCTGGGTTGAGGAGTGGCAGGTGCTTGGGCTCTCCCAGCCCTGGCTTCTAGTAGTGCTCTGACCTGTTTCTCCCTGACTTGGCTCCAGCAGTTCTATATTGAGAGCCTCTGGCTCAAAAGTGTAATCCTCGGGCTCTCTCTCCCTGCCGGCTCTCCTGCAGCTCTCCAACAGCGCACCCTCCCTCTGGAAACTCAACACATCCCCTTTTCCAATGCAGTACAGGGTTGGGGGGGGCGGGCGGGGGCGCCCTTTCCCTGTCCTGCCCCTGCCCATGGGCTTTTCCCAGCAGCTGCCCCTTCCTCTTGTGAGTGGCACTGGCCCAGTCTCACTACAAAGCTCACTGAAAGCTTTCCCACCCCTTTCTGCTGGCCCACACCAGACACTGCTCTGTGTGCTGTGGTCCTGTTTTCCTCTCACCATTTGTTTTTGGCTTTGTTTACTGCAGTTTACTTGTGAGCATTGAGTAGAGGCATCTTCACCCTGCCACCAGCTTCCAGACTTCCCCACAGTCCTCCTATTTGTGTTTCACATGAAACAAAATCAGTTCCTATCTTATCAAAGCCTGTTATTTGAAGCTTTTTACTACAGTGGGTCCTTGGATGACATCATTTTATTCAGTGTCATTTCTTTATCATGTTGATGAGATGAAAGGAATCCCAGCCAGTCAGAAAAACAAGATCAAGTGATTCTAGGACCTATTTATTTCATTTTTTAAAAAAGATTTATTTATTTATGCATGACAGAATGGGGGTAGAGGCCAGAGATGCGGGGGCGGTGAGAAGATTCACCAGAGACAGTGGAGAGCAGAACAGGGTAAGCACACTGCTGAGGGGAGCAGCGGGCGGGTCAGGAGAGGTCTGCCGCGCCATGTGGTCACCTCCTGGGCGGGCAGGGATCAGACTCATGTGGAAGTAGCTATAGCTTCTTAGTGCTGTGCTTTAACCCTTTGCGCCATCAGGGAGGGCCTGTTTATTTCATTTTAAGTCACTTGTAAGAGATGATGGCCAATGCTAAGTGAGAACTCACTATATTCACATTAGAATCCAGACCTAGCAAAGTAGCATTATCCCCGCCTCACAGATAGGAAAACTGAGGCACCAAGTGGTTGAGTCACCTGTGGGAGTTTCCACCACAGGTGGCAGAGCCAAGTATGACCCGCTGTGGGCCTCTGTAGACCAACCCAGAGCAGAGCCCCAGGCGCCGAGGCCACTGGTCTGGGGTTCCTCTCCCTGTGGCCCTGAGGCCCACAGCACGCTGAGTCCTTGCCCACGAAGGTCTCCAAGCCCTAGACACCTCCCAGGGCTAAAAATGCAAAGGTTTGAATTACACACCCCCTGAGTGCACACACCCACCCCTCCCAGCCACCTCTTCTGAGGTCAGCCCAAAGCCAGCCCCATGCAATGCTGCTTTTAGTTAAGCACCACAGGGCGCACACATGTTACACAGCTGTAACTGACCTTGTTTTTCTGATTCAACATGCAGATGGAAGCATGTGCAGATGGATTGGGGTGGCTACTACCCCACTCT